CCTACCTGGGCTCGTCAGGGTTGAGCTTTTCATCTTGAAGACTGTGTAAGAAAATGGACTTAAATTTGAGCTATATAAAAGAGAGAGAGAGAGACTGAAGTGCTGCACGCCAGGGCATAGAAACTGAGATGCTGTGCCCAGTGATAACCTTTTTCTTTAATGTTTTGAAATTTCCAGGTGTCTGAAGAAGCATCGGCACTTTTGCTACCTCTTTGCTGTGGGAATGGATGGCCTCTGTTGTCTTTTCCTGCCAGTTCTCCAAAACTTCCCCTTGCTTGTGCCTTTCTCATTTACCTTTGGCTACTTCGATGGAGCCTATGTAACGCTGATCCCTGTCGTGACAGCAGATGTAGTGGGAACTTCTTCCTTATCATCAGCACTGGGTGTTGTGTGTTTTCTGCATGCCATACCATACCTAGTGAGCCCACCTGTTGCAGGTCAGTTCACAAATGACTTTCCTGTAATCTTATCACTACTTCAGATTTACCTATTAGTGCGACATAAAAGCAGAGGAAGAACAGCAAATGGACACTGAATGTGGAGGTACCCCCCGGCAGGGAAATAATACACCTAGACCTTCATAAGACTCTAGATCCCACTTAAGCCATGTCTCGATGGGATGATTTCTGCATCCAGAGTGAGCTGAAATTTATAAACTAAAACAGTATTGAATGGGGCTTCTAGGAGCTGTTGCATCACGACACATTATTCAGAAATTGTGCATGTACAAGGAACAAAAGATTTCACTGTGAAATTACACGATTTTTAAAATGTAACCTAAAGAGTTTCATTCCAAGGGTGGTTTGGTTTTTTTTTTGTGAAGGACTTGACCTTTTCATCTCCAGACTGCTTTGGGAAGGTGGGTGAGGCAGCTTTACTACTGTTTGATCACAAGCTCATCACTGTAATATTGAACCAACATTTCCCCCATTGATTCCATTACAGTGAAGTAAGGATGAGAGCTGTACTCCTATTATTCTTTAGAAAGAACTTGACAGTTTTGAATATTGTGGAAGGACAGAGATCTTTTCTCAAACAGCTGTGTATATAAATGCCTTGCATATTTTGTCTGCTGTTCACATCAATTCCCAATTAATCTCTGCTTCTGAAGTTTTCAATTTAATTTTCCATAGAAAAAAAATATTGCAAAATGGAATTAATTTAATTGATGTGTGAGCCTAGGGCATAGCTCACTAGATGTTTCTGTGTGAGGATCTCACGCACACAATATTTAATCCCAGGGCTCTCTCTACTCATGTCTAAGGACTGCCAAGTTAAATCCATGCAGTTGAGAGATGTTTGTTTAGTATTGTGGTGATGACTGCTGTGCCTTTTCTCATGGGTTTGACCTCTAACCAAAAGCCCATAAAAATCTTATCTGTCTGCTGAGGACAAATCCCTCCCTGGCCCAGGAGGTAAAAGTATAGCAACAGTGATGTACATCCATATTGTTTGATTGTATTTATATGTGGTAACTCCAGAAGTTTTTATAAAACTCCTGTTGATCACAGGATTTGTAAATTACCAGATTTTGGGTGGGCCTTTAAAAACCCATGGCTTATTTTCCTACAGGTTGGCTTGTGGACACAACTGGCAGCTATACCGCATCATTCCTCCTGTGTGGATTTTCTATGATATTTAGTTCAATGTTACTGTGCTTTGCAACACTAGCAAAGAAAATCAAAAGAACACATTTGCAGTCGCTCACCAATACCGGCACCAAACAGCACATCTGGACAAATGGAGCAATAGCTTATTCTGTCACAGCAGAATTAGACCAAAAGGATGTTGAATTTTTGGCTGTGGATACAAACAGCTACAGCAACAGATGACAAGCGCCATCAGGATTCGGCATGGCACATCCATGTCTGAGACAGAGGTGGCTCTGTAGCGTAACGCTGTTGAAGATATTACTCCTGTGAAACAAGGCATCTCTCAGTTAGATTTTTGTTGTGTTTTAGTCAGCGAAATCTACACACAGCAACAGTAATACCAAGTTAATGTAGCAGTAGAAGAAAGCTAGACTGAAAATAGAGTTTGTAGATACAAATGTTCACAGGTTTGTTTGAAACGCAATACGTCAACTCCACAGGTAGTCTCAAAGATAACGATTGGCTATAATCAAAAGAAGACTATAAAGTAATCAGTCACCAAAACTTGAACACTAAAGCTTAAATTACTTCAAAAATAATATTAATGAAATAAGCTTTTTGGTGTTCATGTCTATTATGTTTCAAAATTGGCTAATCACACACACCACCAAAAAACCTCCACATTTCTCTGCATTGAACTCTTTGCAAATAACTGTTTTAAATGCCAAAGCCTTTTTTTTTTTTTTTTTTTTTTTTTTTTTTAAAAAACTGGGCACCA